GGGTCACCCCCCCTCTGGTGGATCCCGGCTCCTCCGCCTTGCCCTCCCCTCTCCTCTTCCTCCTCCCTGTCCTCCGTGTCTTCTTCGACTTCGGTTTCCCCCTCCTCCCTCTCCTCGCACCCCCCCTCCTCCGCTTCAGCCGCCCCTACCGTCCCCCATGCCCCTTTGCTGTATGCCCGCTGCTTGTTTTTCCTTACGGAATGGCCCCCTATCCCGTTGTCTTTGCCATTTTGGTCTTTTTCACCCCACGTGTGTTTTGCCCCCTCCCCGTCCCATGGCTATGTCCCGGTCTCCAACGCTATCCTTTCTCCTTGCTTGCTCTGTTTTGCTCTCTATACTGTCTCCCTCTCCTTTCCCCCTTGCTCCGTTTGGGGTTGCCTCCCGCTCCAGTGGCCAATCCCTCTTCAGAACCTCAGCACCTCTCCCATCCTGTCCTTTTCCAGTTTCCACTCATACTCCCCACCCTGTCCATCCTGTCCTCTTCACTCACATGCTCCCTCGCCTCCCCTGCCCCGCCACCTCCTCTCCTCCGCTCCCCTCCGCTCCCCTCCCTGGCCCCCCTTTCTGGGCTGGAGCACGTGGGGTCGCAGGATGCAGCGTGATGCAGAGCCTGGTTTTCTCCATCTCGACGTCGCCAATGCATCGTCGATGCCTAGGCGATGCGGTGCGATCCTCTGGCCCCGCCTCCCCCCTTGCCCCGCTCGCGAGGCCTCCTCCTTGCTTCCCCGCTCTCCCACGCGCTCGTGCTCCAGGCCACGCCTCGTGTGAAGTCGGGCGTGTCCCTCTACAGGAGGAATATTCGAACATAGTCCAAGCATAGTCCTGTAACGATTTTGTGGAGTCTATTTGAGCGTATTTAGTGTACTGTTTTGGATACTTTCTATTTTCCGTCCAAAATCCGCCTGTAGGGGGACACGCCCGACCTCAGCCTCGTGGGCCGACCGCAGGACTCACCACCTGGTGCGCGGGCTTGTCGCGCACGGAGTGCTGCCTAATATCATGCGGGTGTCGCGCAGGGGCGCGTGTCTCATTCGGGCACGCGTCCCTGCACAGAGTCTTCACGACTCTACTTGGGGTCGGCACGAGCCTGTGGCATCCTGTTGCCAGTCACGTTCGAAGCTGGAATCGTGCTCGATGACGCGTAAGCGGTACGGAGACGTATGTGAGACTCCGTGTGTGAGTGATGTGGGCACGGTGAGGATGAGGACGAGGTGGCCGTAGGGAGGGAGCCAGGGAGGAATAAAGAGGACTGAGGCACCCCCAGTTCCCGCTGAGCTCAATACTGACGCCACTCTCATTCTTGTCACTCTCTCTCTCTCGTACCCTCGCCCATCAAGCCCGCGTGTGCCTATGTCCATCACGCTGCCCGGGCCCTATTGGAAACGCCGAATGCTATGGTTTGGCTAAGCCATTGGACTATGTGTTCCCCGAGCCGTTGTGGGGGCCCTTGGGCGAACCCTTGGCGGAGTAAGAGATGGAGGAGGAGGAGGAGGAGGAGGAGGAGGAGGAGGAGGAGGAGGAGAAGGAGGAATGGAGAAGGATGTGGACTAGTATACCTCGTGGGACTTCCTGGGGTCCTCTTGAGGGCCTCTTGGGGGCTTCTGAGGGCTGTCTGGGAGCCTCCTGGGGGCTTCTGGGGGGCATGGACGGGGCCGGTTGGCCTTCGGTAGGCGTCTTGGGGGCCTCATTGGGCCATCTTAGGTGCTCTGGAGCCGTCTTGGATTCCTCCCTCTTGGCCCGTCTTGGGACCCTCTTTCAGAGGATCGCAAACATGGATCAAGGGGGCGTGGATTAGCGACGGGTCCCGTTTCTATGGGACATCGCAGATTTCCGCTGCCGAACGAGGCGGCATCGGCCGCATTTTGGGGAGGGCACCTCCCCCGATCCATGGACTTGGCGGCCGCGCGCCAAATCCACGGATCGCTAAGGTATCTCGGGTGCCCCCTGGGGGTCTCTTGGTGGCTTCTAGGGGTCTCGGGTGGGCCATCTGGCGGCCTGGGTCGGGGGCAACACTAGAGTGGTGGGCTCCAGCTTTGCGTGCCCCCTTTGGGGCCCCTCTTGAAGGCTGTGTTGGAGGGACGTGTTTGGGTGATCTGGTGGGGCCGTTCTGGGCGATCCTGAGGCCGCAAAGCAGATCGTGTGAACATGTGCGACAAGTCGTGTGAAGCTGGGCTGGTCCCTCTACAGGAGGAATATTCGAAAATGGTCCAACAATAGTCTGGGGACGATCTGTTGAGCAGTTTTTTGTTGTTGCTATTTTCGAGTGCTCGTTCTTAGGAGTTTTGATTTTTCGTCTAAGCTCCCCCTGCAGGGGGACATGCCCGCCCCAAAAGCTGTGCCGCTCCGTGATCTCCGCCTCGCTGCGTCGGCCCCGGCGGCCTCCTCGACTCAGGAGGGAAAAAACACACACACACAGACACAATTAATCGTCGATCCCCAGAAACTGTGGGAAAACATGGGAGGGGGGGGGGGGCGACGAACACCCCGAACACATGGGAAAACATGGGGAATATTTTTGTTTTATTCGTGTGTGTTTCTTTGTGTGTCCTGGGGCCCCTCCACCGACGGCCGCAAAGGGGGGCCCGGGGCCGACTCCCCTCGGGCCGACTCCCCTCGAGGAGAGCCCCTGGGCCGACTCCCCTCGGGGCCGGGGGCCCGGGGCCGGGGCTCTGGCACGCGTGCCGCGCGCGTGCTCCCGGCCGCGCTCAGGAGGCCTCCGGCAGCCCCACAGCGCAGGCCCATGCCAAGACACACCCTCCTCAAGGGTTCTTCCCCCTCCTCCTCCATCTCCTCCTCCTCCTCCTCCTCCTCCTCCTCCTCCTCCTCCTCCTCAGGCGTCAGGTCCATGGGCCCAAGCCGGGCCCGTTTCAGACCTGACCCCAGACGCCGTGTAGCCCGTCGGCGGGCCACGGTGCATCCCGCGACATGGATGGCGCCTGCGCCGCACTGCCCTGCGAGGCGGGCGCGGCCTCGCCGTCCCGTTCGGCCCGCAGAAGAAGGAGAGCGGCGGTGGTGGCGATCCGCCCCGCGCAGCGTGCAGCTTGCGCGCTGTCCGCCTCGCTTGGGCTGTCGATGCCCATGGAGTGGGTGGAGGCCGACGCGGGCCAGGGAGATGCGCCTGGAGTGTGGCACATCCCTGCTGCCGACACGCTGCACTGTGACGCGGTCGCCTGGGCAGCCGCAGCATTCGCAGATGGTGTCGCTGCGGGCTGTCACATCGTCCCTCTTCTCCGTGGCAACGACGCGGAGCCCGAGGACCAGGGCAGGATGCTCGACACCTTCGACGCAGTGGTGAGCACCGACGGCACCGCGATGGCCGACGATGCGAAGGTGAGCTTCAACGACTTCCCGCTGGCCGACGGGGACCAGCAGAGCAGGAAGAGCAATCAGGGCAGTAGCCAGAACGCTTACGAGACGGAGGTGAACTCGGGCGACGTGCTGCAGATCCTGGCGCGGTGGGGGGCCGCACAAACAACCCCCAACAACGCGGAGCCCATGAGCCAGGGCAGGATGCTCAACACCTTCGGCACGGAGCTGAGCGCCGACGGCAACCTGGAGGCCGACGGGGCGCAGGTGAGCATCGACAACAGCCCGCTGGTCGACGGGGGCCAGCAGGGTTTCAAGGGCTACCAGGGCAGTGCCCTCCCCACCTACCTGACGGAGGTGAGCAAGAGCGACGTGTTGCAGGACCTTGCGCGGTGGGGGGCCGCGCGCGCAACCCCCAAAAACGCGGAGCCCGTGGGCCAGGGCAGGATGCTCGACACCTTCGGCACGGAGCTGAGCGCCGGCGGCAACCTGGAGGCCGACGGGGCGCAGGTGAGCATCGGCAACAGCCCGCTGGTCCACGGGGGCCAGCAGAGTTTCAAGGGCTACCAGGGCAGTGCCCACTACACCCACCTGACGGAGGTGAGCAAGGGCGACGTGCTGCAGGACCCGGCGCGGTGGGGGGCCGCACAAACAACCCCCAGAGACACCGAGGTGGTCTTGGACGGCAAGGCGACCAACATCGATGCGTACGAGGCGACCGCAGGCGAGCCGTGCACAGGCTGGCAATGGTGGCGTGCGCGACGTGAGATAGCGGGCGAGTGGATTTTCGAGATCGCCCTGGCGGCGGGCTGGGCCAAGCAGGACAGCTTTGGCCCGCGCACCCAGCCGCTCAACCGCGCGCTGGCCATGACACGGGCCAGCGCGCACAAGCACCCCCTGCTCCACGGCTGGGTCGACTACAGGACCAACCGCATTGGCATGGGGCTGCAGACATGGGGGCACTCGGCGCCCATGTGGGGCGAAAGTTTCTTCGTGAACGACATGTGCCGGTTTGGGCACAGGCATTTCGCCGACGACTCACTGGTCGTCGACGACGTCCTTCAGAAGGAGGTGCAGCTCGAGCGGACCAGAGCGACCTGGCAGCGTGCAGGGCCGCAGCCGAGGGAGTGCGCAGAGCAGGCCGAGGAGGATGCCACGAAGTTCAGCGTGCAGGACCGCTGATCGGCGCACGGTGGCGCCCCTCCCTTCTCTCCCGCCTGCGCTTCCCTCCTGCAGCTGGCACGTTCGGCATCATTCGGAGGAGCACAACATCCTCCTCCTCCTCCTCCTCCTCCTCCTCCTCCTTCTCCTCCTCCTCCCCCTCGAGCCGCGACAGAGAGAAAGCACGACGGAAGGTGTTCCGCTCTTTTCGGGCACGGGGGGCGCCTGCAGTGGAGACTCACGCCAAAAAACACCCTGCTCCCCTCCGGGATGCCCTGGGTTTCCTGAGTTTCGGTGCTTTTGCGATGGGCAGCGTGCCGCCCCCCACACCACAACTCGATGGACGTCCTGGGGTCCTCAGGGTTGGGTTCCTCGTGGAAGGTCCTCCCCCCCCTCCACCTCCTCCACCTCCCCCTCCTCCTCCTCCTCCTCCTCCTCCTCCTCCTTTTCCTCCTCCTCCTCCTCCTCCTCCTCTCCTCCTCCTCCCCCTCCACCTCCTTCTCCTTCTCCTCCTCCTCCTCCTCCTTCTCCTCCTTCTCCTCCTCCTCCTCCTCCTCCTCCTCCTCCTCTTCCCCGTTCCTCCCCCCTCCTTCCTCCCTCCTCTGTGCGGAACAGTCCAAGCTCTTCGCACGGAGCACTCTAGGTTCGCGGGACACGGCAACTACCCAGCAGGACGTGACAGGTCTCCACCAGGCAGTGCGACAGGCCGATGGCACATCAGCGTGCCTGGTGCGAGATCCAACCTTACTAATATATCTGAAGGACTGCGACCGCTGCCGCTGGCCCCCCGAGGCGGAGCCATCTTAGTATGACACTGGGACCACTCTGGGTGTTTGTATTTCTCCAATGCCTCCTTCTTGCCGTCCGCTGGCTTCCATGATCTGAGACAGAGCGCGTTTTTTGGTCGCTTGGAAGGGGGTGGGGGTTGGAACCGGACCCCCCCCCTGGATTGAGGGGGGGGGGTTCGAACCCCCACTCCCTTTGGCGGCGGCGGCGGCTGGCGGCGGCGGCGGGGACAACGATTTCCTTTTCTGGGCCAGCGCCGGCCCCTGCGGCGGTGGGCGGCGGCGGCGGGGAGCGTCGACGAGGACGACGGTGGTACTGGTGGTGGTGGGTTGTGGTGGTAGTGGTGGTGGTGGTTTGTGGTTATTGTGGTGGTGGTGGTGGTTTGGTGGTTTGTTGTGGTGGTGGTGGTGGTGGTTGTGGTGGTGGGTGGTGGTGGAGGTGGTGATGGTGGTGGTTTGGTGGTGGTGTGGTGGTGGTTTGTGGTGGTGGTGGTGGCGGTGGTGGTTTGTGGTGGTGGTGGTGGGGATGGTGGTAGTGGTGGTGGTGTGGTGGTGGTGGTAGTGGTGGTGGTATGGTGGTGGTTTGTGGTGGTGGTGGTGGTGGTTTGGTGGTGGTGTGGTGACGGTTTGTGGTGGTGGTGGTGGGTTGTGGTGGTGGCGGTGGTTTGCGGAGGTGGTGCTGGTGGTGGTGGTGGTGGTTGTGGTGGTTATGGTGGCTTTGGTGGTTGTGGTGGTGGTTGTGGTGGGTTGTGCTGCTGGTAGTGGTGGTGGTGGTGGTGTCGGTGGTGTCGGTGGTGTGGTAGATTGTGGTGGTTTCGGTGGTATTGTTGGTGGGTTTTTGTGGTGGTGGCGGTGGTTGTGGGTTGTGGTGGCGGTGGTTGTGGTGGTTGTGGTGGCTGTGGTGGTTGTGGTGGTGGTTGTGTGGTGGGTTGGTGGTGGTGGTGGTGGTGGTGTTGAGGCGGTGGTGGTGGTTATCGTCGCTGCGTCCCCGCCGTCGCCAGCGCCAGCGCCGGCGCTGCTGGCCGCCGCCAGAGCCAGCGCCGGCGCTGGCGCCAGAGGTGGGGGGTGTGAACCCCCCACCACCTCCCGGCGCAAGGGGGCGGGGTGTTTGAACCCCCCCCCCCTTTGGGCTGCCTCTGGTCATCGTCGCTGCGTCCCCGCCGTCGGCGCTACTGGCGGCCGCCGGCGCGGGCGCCGAGGGGGGGGGGGTTCGGGAGGGGGGGGAGGGGGGTCGCCCTGGTTTTGATCGACGGCGCCGAGTGTTGGGGGGGGCGCCCCCCGCTTCGAAACGAGCCGCCGAATGTTGCCAAGGCAAGCGCCTGTGAAACGCGTTTTCTCTGATCTGATTTGTCTCTTTCGTCATTTCGCGCGGTCGTTCTTGCAGTAGTCGCGTATGATATTCGCGGCTTTTCTGGTGGTACCAAGTCTCGTCGTGCAGCCGTCGGGGGTGGTCTGTCATGAAACCATCTTGGGACCACCGTGGGGGGTCTCTTGTGCTATCCAAATACGGGGCCTGACGCGGCCATGTTGTTGCCTCTGGATGCCAAGTTTGGGCTATATCTAGCAAGTGTCAGACTATATTTGGGCCTGTAGGAACAACCATTCGAACTCGTGGGGTTGACTTGGGGCCATTCTGGGCGATCTTGTAGGGTCTTGGGGCCACTGGGCAGTGGGGACCACAATGGGGCCATCTCGGGCATTCGTGGGTGACGTCTTGCAGCCACCGAGCAAGTATAGTCGGACTACACAAGCAATGTGTAGTCTTGAAGCCACCGAGCAAGTATAGTCTTGAAGGGTTCGATATGTCTTCCGAGCAAGTATAGTTGGACTACAAGAATCGCGCACCGAAGAACCCCGCGGCGTTTCCACGATGTCTTGGCTTCTCGGGGCGTGTTGGGAGTCCCTCTGGCAGCTTTTGTGGGGGGGCTCTTGGGCTGTCTTCGGACCGTCTTGAGCTCGTCTTGGGCCGTCTTGATTACTTGATGCCCCCTGGCGAGCTCCTCGAGACCAGGGCTGGACCGACACGCTGTTTTGCTGGACTTCGGCTGTGTTTTGTTTTTCGTTTTGGGAAGGAGGTACAGGAAAACATGGGGGAGCAAAGCGAAGAACAAAACGAACACACAACGAACAACAACGTTTAGGTCCAGCCCTGCTCGAGACCTCCAGGCAACCTCCTTGAGACCTCCTGGGCCCCTCCTGGCGAGCTCCTGGAGACCTCCTGGGGCCCCTCTGGCCGCCCAGCGGCGTCGCCGGGGAGCCCTGCGGCGGCCGAGCGCAGCCGGGAAGCCGACGCACACACACACACGCACGCACACACACCCACACCCACACCCACACCCACACCCACACCCACACCCACACCCACACCCACACCCACACCCACACGCACACGCAAACGCACACGCACACGCACACGCACAAGCACACGCACACGCACACGCACACGCACACGCACACGCACACGCACACGCACACGCACACGCACACGCACAACACACGACACACAACACACAACACACAACACACAACACACAACACACAACACACAACACACAACACACACCACACACCACACAACACACAACACACACAACACACAACACACACAACAGACAACACACTCACCACACTCACCACACACAGCACACACAACACACACAACACACAATACACACAACACACACAACACACACAACACACACAACACACACACCACACACAACACACACAACACACAACACACAACACACAACACGCACAACACACAACACACAACACACACAACACACGCAACACACGCAACACACGCAACACACAACACACGCAACACACGCAACAAACGCAACACACGCAACACACGCAACACACGCAACACACGCAGCACACGCAACACACGCAACACACGCAACACACGCAATACACGCAGCACACGCAACACACGCAACACACGCAACACACGCAACACACGCAACACACGCAACACACGCGCACACGCGCACACGCGCACACGCGCACACGCGCACACGCGCACACGCGCGCACGCGCGCACACGCGCACACGCGCACACGCGCACGCGCACGCACACGCACACGCACACGCACACGCACACGCACACGCACACGCACACGCACACGCACACGCACACGCACACGCACACGCACACGCACACGCACACGCACACGCACACGCACACGCACACGCACACGCACACGCACGCACACGCACACGCACACGCACACGCACACGCACACGCACACACACGCACACGCACACGCACACGCACACGCACACGCACACGCACACGCACACGCACACGCACACGCACACGCACACGCACACGCACACGCACACGCACACGCACACGCACACGCACACACACACACACACACGCACGCACACGCACACGCCCGCAGGCAGTTTTGCCAGGCGATCGCAAAAACGGATTCAGGGGGCGTGGATGAGCGACGGGTCCCGTATCCATAGGAAGTCGCGGTTTTCCGCTGCCGAGCGAGGCGGCACCGGCCGCAGTTTCACTGCCCACCGGGCCACCCCAACCCAACCCGAAGGCCCCGATTAGCCATCCATTTCCAGTGGGGGGGTGGTCGGGGAGCATTGAAAAACACATCTGAAGCTCGACCCCCCCCCCAACCCGAAATTCGGGTCTACTTCAGGTCTTCGGGTTGGGTTGGGGTGGTCTGGTAGGTCGTCACAGTTTGGGGAGGGCATCTCCCCCGATCCATGGATTTGGCGACCGCGCGCCAAATCCATGAATCGCTCATCCATGTTTGCGCGCCCCCGCCTTTGGTGGGCGGCAGAGAGGAGACAGGACCAGAGCTACAGAAGGAAGCGAACGGCAGGACGAGATAGAGAGGCTGCACGAGACACACCAGCAGAGCACACGCCACCAGATACTCTCGCGGGCGGGCGCCCCCCGAGAGGGGCCAGCGGACACAATTCGGCGCTCTGCTTGGCGCAGGCTGGCGTATTCGGCGCTCTGCTTGGCGCAGGCTGGCGCCAAGCAAAGTGGCGCCCCCACGAGGGCTTTTGCAGACAGGGCGTGATCACGTATTCTTATCTTCCCATTGGCGCTCGGGCGGTCATTGATTGGGGCAGGAAGCTGGTACATATTGATACTTGCATACTTCTTATGCCGCCACTCTAGAGATGGCGCTCTCGGGAGTAGGAAGGTGGGATGATGGCTGTCTGGAAGACACTCTCGTGTTCTACAGTCGGCCCAGATTAGTAGGTCGACCCTACCAGATCAAGAGTACTCTTGTGTCCTGTATCTTGCGACCCATGCCTCCTACATTCCTATGGCGATGTGGCACTTAGAAGGGTCTTGTATCCTCTCGCGCGTCCTGTCCAATCAAGTCCGACTGTACTTGGCGATCATGGTAGGAAGTAGCTTGCGGAGGCACCCTTACCCCTGATTCACGAACCCCCCGCCGCAGCCCCAGTTTCCCCTTCTTCGGGCATCGTCCTGCTCCGTTCCTTTCCTTGTTTGTCATTCCTTCTGCTTGCACGATCCTCCCCTCTTGTTATCCTCCTTGTTTGATTGAACGCCCCTGAGAGGGCAGACTCCGCCGCCCCGTCTTCTTTGGATCGTGGATCTGTGGGAGAGAAGTGGACTTGTGGGGAGGCTGGGTGGGAGGAACAGGGGGACAATTGAAATGATCCTAGAGGGCGAGATGGGTTTCAGACGGCCCCAGAAGGTTTCCCAGAACGCGGTAAAGCTGGCAATTGGAATGACCCCAGAGGGCAGGAGGGGGGTGGCCCCAGAGGGCTTCCCAAGACGCCAGACAGCTGCCGACGAGGGCCCCAAGATGCTGCGAACACAGCCCACAAGGGCACCCAGAGGTGTGGAAAACTGCGGACGCAGCCGAAGAGGGACACGATCTCGCTGCCCTTCGTGGCCCCCCCGCTGCCCTTCGTGGCCCCGTTGCAGCCCTTCGTGGCCCCCTCGCTGCCCTTCGTGTGGACCCGGCAGCCCTTCGTGGCCCCCTCGCTGCCCTCCGTGGCTCCTTTGCAGCTTTTGGTGGCCCCCTCGCTGCCCTTCGTGGCCCCGTTGCAGCCCTTCGTGACCCCCCCGCTGCCCTTCGTGGCCCCGTTGCAGCCCATCGTGGCCCCTTCGCTGCCGTTCGTGGCCAAGGTGCAACCCTTCGTGGCCCCCTCGCTGCCCTTCGTGGCCCCGTTGCAGCCCTTCGTGGCTCCCTCGCTGCCCTTCTTGGCGTCATATATGTATGCCCTTCGTGGCCCCTTCTCGTTCGCGCCCGTCGTGGCCCCATATGCATGAGCTTCGTGGCTCCGCTGTCGCCCTTCGTGGTCTCTATGCTGCCCTTCGTGGCCCCGTTGCTGCCTTCAGTGGCCCCGTCCTTGCCCTCTGCGACCCAATATACATGATGCCCTTCGTGGCCCCCGCTGGTTCGCGCCCGTCGTGGCCCCATGTGCATGCCCTTCGTGGCCCCGCTGTCGCCCTGTGTGGCCCCCTCGCTGTCCTACGTGGATCCGTTGCTACCCTCAGTGGCCCCGTCTTCGCAGATAATGGCCCCGCACTATCTGCTTTTCGTGGCCCCCGCTCGTTCGCGCCCTTCGTGGCTCCATACGCATGCCCTTCGTGGCCCCGCTGTCACCCTTCGTGGCTCCCTTCTTGCCCTTCGCTGCCACGCTGTCGCTCTCGCTCTCGCTCTCGCTCTCGCTCTCGCTTTCGCTCGTTGTCGTCGTCGTTGCCGTCGCCGTCGCCGTCACCGTCGTCGTCGTCGTCGTCGTCGTCGTCGTCGTCGTCGTCGTCGTCGTCGTCGTCGTCGTGGTCGGTCCCCTGTCTGTCCCTCGTGGGGTCGGGTTGCCTCTGGTCAGCGCTGCCGCTGGCCAGGCCGGCGGTCCGCGGCCGCCCCGCCGCTTGCGGGGGCCCTGCAAGCAGGGAAGACAGATATATCCACTAAAAGTGGTACAATCGAAGACGAAGAAGGCGGGTATCGAGGGTTTGGGACACACACGTTGAATGACACTCGGGCAGATAAGGGCGAGCAATCTTAACCTGATGGTTGTTATGGTTGTTATGGTTGTTGTTGTTGTTGTTGTTGTCGTTGTTGTTGTTGTTGTTGCTGTTGCTGTTGTTGTTGTTGTTGTTGTTGTTGTTGTTGTTGTTGTTGTTGTTGTTTTGTTGTTACTTTTGGATTGTCAATTCTTACGGATCGTGTTGATCCCCCCTCTGGTAATCATTATATCTGTTCAATTGATGTGCCCCTCGAGGTTCGCACCATGTTTCTAATCAGGGAGAGCTTGCTGTCACCAAGCTGCGATGTTGGACCCAGGACTAGAACAACACCAACAATCACAACAACAACGACAACACCAGCGGCTCCCGCTTGATATTTCCGCACACGGTATTCCAACGTAGCGGTTTCGCGCGGGACTTCCTCACAATGTATGCAGGAATCGTGCTCTCTCGTGGGATATCCTCTCATAATATTCAGACGCCGCGCCCACGTCACTCAGGAATCACGCTCTCGCCTAGGCTTTTCTCACGATTTACTTGGGAATCAGGGTATCGCTCGAGCTCTCCTTGCAACACGCCTTCTCGACCTGGCCGCTTGGGCCCGTCTTCCCGACCCTGTTAGGGTCTACCAGCCCGATGGGCCCGTCTTGTTCTGCTACCGTTTTTCTGCTCATAGCCCCCCTCCTGCTGATCCTGTGCTCCATCCTTCTCCCTCCCCCTTCATCTGTCGTCTCTTTCCCTGCTTCGGAGGCTGCACCAATTACACGCGGCAGGAAAGGAAGATTTATCCCCAGGGGTGCACGATCGAAGACGAAACGGGCGGCGGGCACCGAAGGGTTGGGATACACGTGTTGGCTGGCACGGGAGCAGATAAGAGCGAACAGTCGTACAATGGCTGTTGTTGTTGCTGCTAGTGTTGATGCCAATAATAATGGTTATGATGCTGTCGGTGATGACGATTACGAGTCTGATGATACAAATGGTGATGTTGATGCTGCTGACGATGATGCTGATGGCGATGACGGTTACGACGACGACGATGGTGATGATGCTTTTGATGATGACGGTGATGATGATGGTGACAATGAACCGGATATGATAATGACCATTATGATGAACTTGACGCTGACGATGATGATGCTGATGATGATGTTGGTTGTGATGTTGATGCTGGTGCTGATACTGAAACTGATGATGTTGCTTATCATGATGCTGTTGATGCTGAATTTAATGATGCAATGGATGATGATGAT